TTTTTTTTCAGAGACATAATATCTCATCATATAAATATAAATATGAGCCACATCATTTTAAAAATTTTTTTGCAGTTTAAAACTCCTCTCAAAATGTAGCGTTGTTGATGACTATTCTCTAGCACTGGTTTGTAAAAGTAAGTTTCCATTTCTTATCTAATTCTTTGTGACTAATACTTTAACTGTAGTTATAAACCTAAATATAGCTTTACTATATTTAAGTGGAAATGAAAGGGAAACAGTTTATTTATTTTGGGTATGTTGGTTTGTTTTGAATTTTTTTTTAAGAAGAATGTTTAGAGGACTGTTTAAAGCATAAACCCAGAATTAAAAGTTGACATTATTGAATAATATGCTCTTTAAAAAAGCATGTTTCTATATTCTTATATTCTTATTCTTAGCATTCTCACTGGTAATAGGCTTTTAAAAATATGCTATTCATGGGACCAGCAGATGGCATAATGGTTATGTGGTTGGATTCCCACATAGTCAACTGTGGTACTAGTCCTGGACCCAGAGGCTTAAAACTCACTGGGTGTATGTGTATGCACACCCAAGATGCAAAGATGAGGGATTCTCGTGAGGAAGGGGTGAGCGATCGTGTTGGGCTTTATGTAGGGGGGTAGCTGCAAAGACAGTATTGGGTCCCCTCCCATGGCCAACAGCCCTCCTGAGACCTGGGCACTTCCACACTCACTGGCTGGCTTGCAGACTGAGCTGCAGCTGGTCTGATAGCCCAGAGAGACCACCCTTCCTGTCCTGGTGTGTGGGGACCCTGCTGGGAGAATTCGGCAGGCCAGGTGATGGGGAGCCTGGGGCTGCAATGGCAGGGTTGGGGTCCTCACTGCCCAAGAGAAGGGCAGAGACCTCGTGGGGTCGATACCGATGGCCCTCTCCCCTCTCAAAGATGAAGAGGCATTCACTGAGACTGAGGGTGTGCAGTGGAGCCTGGGACAGACGGGGGACATCCTGAAACAGCTCCTAAAATGAGGGGCCTTGGGAGTCACCCAAACCCAGGAATTTCCAAGTCATAATCAAGGCTTGACCACAGCTCTGAATTCACAGCGAGTGATCCTCCCAGCAGAGCTGCCGTGCCCACAGGGAGTGTGAGCCGAACACCCTCCTGTGCTCGGAGGAGCCAGATTCGCGCAGAGCCCATCCCTGGATGTTTGACCTCGGCCTAGGCCTAGATTCACGCGTACCTGGGGGAAGAGAAGCAACAGCGGGCCTGGTGGGAAGGGAAGGAGAAAGGGTGCTGACCTTAGGTGGGCGACACTGTCTCTGCCTGCACCCGTACCGCTCTAAGGGACATAAGGGGTCTTCCTGCTGTCTCTGGACAAGGACACCATCGAAGCCTGACCTCCTGGCCCAGATACCGGCAACCAGAAGGCTCATTGTGGAAGAGTCCAATACCAAGCCTGAGATGGCGGGGGGGTGTGTGCGGGGAGGGGTCACGGTGACTGGTTAGAGGTACCCGTCAGAGAGGACAGGCGGTCTGGTGGTGGCATTCACGTGTGTCCTTCTCACCAGCGATTCCTACCTGTGACTTTCAAAGGAGCTATAAATGATTGAATAATAATTTTAAAAAGTAACAGTAGCAAAGTTCTTTTCAGTACACAATGCACAACACAATGTTCCGTTTTGTAATGCAGCACTGCAGTTTTGTTCAATGTTAAATGTCTCTGATGATGAGAGTCCTACAGAAAAGTATTTGGCTACTTACTAAAAATTTGGAGATCTGCGTCGTCTAGAGTCTTATTCCGACAGGATTTACAAAATGTTCTAAATACCTAACCTATGTGACCCAAGGAGAACTTGGCTGTAGTTCTCATTTCAAATCAAGGGTAAACTCACCAAGAGTGTTTGCCGTCTTCTACACGGAGATCGCGGAACCGTTTGCCTGTGTACCTGCAGATGAGCATTTAACTAATCACACTGTCACTTCTCTCTGTTCTAATCGTCAATTTTCAAAAAGACAAACGAGTAGAATGATTGCATTGACTGACTGCACTGACCGATTTAGTCAGACATCTGATTTCAATATGCTAACTCTGAGGCCCATTCACAGCTGGTGGGGTGCGATGCTCTACTGAAAGCATTTTCTTCCCTTCGGTGGTCCACAAAATAACATTGCACCTGACATGCTTTGGCATCAGAGATTAAAAGAAACACAGCAAGTGAGTCAGAAAGAGGGAGAAGCCTAACACAAAATCAGTTCAGAGGGTACAGACCCTGAGTCAGCAGTGTGCCTCACAGCGAGCACACCCCCAGCAGGACCCCTCCCTCTCAGCGCTGTCTGCGTCTCAGTTTTCCACGTGCCTACAAAGATCCTCCTGAGTGGGGGCCTGCTCCGTGCTGCAGCAGTAATTCATTGCTCAAAAGAAGCCAAATCTCACGTGACGACCCCAGTTCAAATCCCCTGCCCAGACAGCCCAAACGCTCTCTGGGCATGCCCAAGGTCTGGTGGGTCCGAGGGCTGGAGGAGGGGTCACGGTGTGACCAGACCCAGTGCAGGCGCTCCTCCCCTCCCATTTTCATGTGCCCGTGTATGTGCTGTCTCACGAGTAAAAAGCAGGTTCTTCTGCATGATCACGATGGTCATACACCTGTATCAGGACCTCACAGCACTTCTCGAACTTTCATCGCTGTAGCAGGAGTTGGTCAGGAGACCAGTGAGGAAATACAGTGTGTGAATTCCCACAGCGGACGGTGATGCACTTTAATCGAGACAGTCATGGAATCGTGAAGACTGTAAAGCCGTTCCTCTGTTTAGATGACAGATTAAGATCTGCAGGGATTCGGTGAGTAGGTCTACCCTCGTTTCAACGACACGGCAGGATGGTTGTTCAAGACCACATGAGGAGAGGTCCTTAACTGAGTTCTCTGCTCGAGGTTTATCCGCCAGGCTGCTAATGAAACTTCGGAAGGAAATAAACAGAATTCAAAAATCCCTCTCTCCTCAGCGAAGGTGAAGTTTTGTACAGTTTGGGTCCCAGCTAGGAAAGTATGTGACTGTTCGCTTAAGAGAAGAACAATAGGGAACTTGGTGGTAACGCCACTGGAGCCCTGTGGGGAGGTCCCCAGTTCATGTCCTGAGGCCTCTCTGTCTCGCTGAGCATCTACACGCTCCCACGATCCAGGCTGGCTGAGGCTCCGGGAGGACATGCTGTGAAGTTTGGCTCTTTCTCTCTCTTATGGAAAACATAATCTTAAAAAAAAATATAAGGCAGGAAAAGAAATTATCTTGAAAATGAAATAAGAAACATATATCCTCTTAGGGATTTAGAGTACTTTGCTTATTTCAAACCTCCCTTAAGATTACATCAAGAGGATCTTTTGTTGGATTTGATCACGTACTCTACCTAATTTTTCTAGTTTACACATTAGAAAGGGTCTTCGGTAAGTGATATTCCTAGAGAATGATATAATTTCACTGTTATGGAGCCTTTCAAAAATTCTTTGTACCACAAAATTTGATTAAAAAAAAAGTCTTTGAAACCAATGATCTTTCAAATATTGGTTTTTGGTATTAATATCTCAAAAATACACCTTTGTAGATTTGCCTTAGGGGGGATGTTTTGTAAAAATTAAGTTAATAAAGGGGCCGGCAGGTGGCATGGTGGTTGGGGCACTGAACTCCCACATAGCTACCATGCTTTAAGTCCTGGTCATGGCAGCTTGCTTTCTCACTTTCCCTCTCTCTTTCTCTCTGATGACTATACAAGTTGAAATAATAATAATAAATAAAATAATTATTTTTTTAAAAAATTAAGTTAAAACGATAAACTATGTGCCAGCCAGTGGCGTGGTGATTAAGGCAGCTGGATTTCATATGTCTGAAAGCACAGTTTGAGTCCTGGACTTGGTAGCTTGAAAAACAAGCTGGGTGCACCTGTGCCCCCTAAACTCGGAAAGGAGGAAGGAATGGAGGAGAAAGGATTGCTGCATGGCCAGCCCTCAAGGGGGCGGGGGACCCTTTCTTGCCCCCCTCCTGTATGATGAGTGCACGTACTCCCTGGTAAATTAAAAATAAAATAAAGCTGATAAGCGGCATGGCCATAGTAGTTCGGTCTTCTTGCAGCCATCCCTTTATTAAACCGCTTGGAAAACACAGGAAATATTGAGTCTGCATTGTGCTCGCAAGGCCCAAATATTGGCTGGGATGCCAGAAGTCTTGACATTAAAACATATTCTTGGTAGGGAATTAAATTCTTTCGTTTGTAATTCTTGGTGCAAACTAAAAATTGCTAACTTGATGATCAAACCTAAGAACAGAATGTGACTCAAAAGAGTGGAGTTTGCTCTTTAAAATAATTAAAATTCCTGCATTGTGTGTTATACTCATCCTCGGAATATGTGATATCACAAATATGGCTAGGCGACCTGTCATTCCGCTGTTTAACCAGTAGCAGGATTTTCATATGTACAAACATGTCCAACATTAGACACTCAGTGCATTTCCCACCCGACCACATTTTAATTCTTGATCAGTCTCTTTAGTACAGCTACACATATTTTAGAAAGCTTTCTTAGGAAAAAGTCCCCAGGGATTATGTTCTTTACTATTTATATCAATAAAGGAGCCCCCATGGAGCTTTGTCACGTTCGTTCAGCCTCACCACCAGAAAAAGAAAACATCTATACCAGCGTAAAGTTCAAGCGATTCCAAGTTTCTTGGAGTTTTATTTTGTTTTTGTTTTGAAACAGCACGCGATCGTGGTTGTTTTGTAATAAAACGTCATGCATTTTCTGGGCAGTGTTCTATATCTTGATTATAGAGACTATTTTTTTGACAGTTTGATTTGGAAGCCGTTCGCCTCAGTAAACCGTGCGTGTGCGTGCGTGCGTGTGTGTGTGTGTGTGTGTGTGCATTACACGAGTTTGACTTTTCGCGCTGGAACAGAACCATGTAAAGGCTGAGATCAGCGTGTCAGAATTGACCCGGAGCAGGGCTGCGTGGACGCGCGTGCTCCGCCTACGGCTTTTCTGCCCTTGGCAGCTGGAGCCCGTGGGTGAAGCACTGAGGAAATGGCTTTGACTCTCGACCTGCTGGGGAAGTGTTCGCTTCCTGGAGCTGGCCCGAAAGAACTTAAAAAAGCAGCGAGTTTCTGGGAGCGAGTCTGAGCCAGTGTGAGTCCTCGGCGGGGAGCAGCGCCGCGCCCGCGAGGTGCACCTGCAGGCGGGGAGCGGCCTCTGGGCGCCGCGGAGCA